TAAATGGTATAAAAGTAAAAAAAAGGTGTATAGTTCTGAAAATCTAAAAAAATCTATATAAAAATCTATAAAAAGATCTATATAGAAAACAAAAAACAGAGTTTCAAACATTCAATCAAATATAACAACGTCCAAATAAATTCAAATAAAATACAATACATCACTACCATAAGTTTCAAAGTTCAAATAAACTCAAATTCATACAAATTCAAATAAAATTACAAAAATAAATAACTACGTCATGTCATTTAAAAAACCAATATCAACATGCCACATCAATGTAATTATAACAATCGTTGGTCCAATTTAATGACAATGGTTTAATTGGAACAATTTTACAAAAGTCAAGACCTATTTGAGATTTCCAGCCAAAAAAGGAACCTAATTGAGATTTCCAACAAAAGAAAAAGACTTAACAAATTATTAAACCTAAAATATAATTACTTTTGTTTTTTATTTGTCTTTTATTCTAAAAGTGTAAATACTATTTTTGTCTTAATATTTTATTCTAATTCTTCAAACAAATTGTTTAATATTATAAAAGAATAAATATTTAATTATAGTAAATTAGAAATTAAAATTGTTTATCATGACATTATCATCATATAAAAAAATAAGTCAATTATAAATAAAATCATGAAAATTATCCAAATTGAATTGCAAAAGTTAATCTTGTTTGATTATTTTTTATATTACAAACACCCTTCGCAGTAATATCATCAATCTTGTTAACAAATGTGTTATATTAACATTATTATCCCGAATCCATAATTTTATCATGGGTGAATAAGATGATACTTATGGCAAAAAGTATTTTTATTTGCAATTAAAAATTCTCAAAGGTAGAATAGTAATGCATTACAAAGCTAAGAAGAATTAATCATATTTAGGCAAAAAGTTCATGGATAAGAATTGGTTTAACCATAGTCCCTATTTTTGGTATTTTTTATCACATAAGTCCCTTATTTTTCTTTTTGTCTCAATTAAATTTCTATTTTTGAAAATTTGAAATAATTAGGTCACTATAGTTAGTTTCTAACTAAGGGTGTCACGTGTTAACTCGTGATTTTCTTGAACTTTTAAAATATATTTTTTAATTATTTTTATTTTTTTGATTTTTTTTAAAAATGAAAAATTGTCATGTGTTAAACTGACATTATATCGCGTGGCACATGTATCATTGTACTTGTGTATTTGTCTCAATTCAGTCTTTATATTTTTATTTTATTTTAATTTAGTCCTAATTTTTTTTTAAAAATTAAACAATTTTGTTCCTTTCCAAATTCAAACAAAATTTAATTTGTATACAAATCTTTACAAATTTTTTTATACAAATTGATATTTTTTATTAGAAAAATAAAAAAATTACGAACTAACATATAACACATTTTTATTTATACAGTACTAACAAAATAACTTAATTGCATTAAAGTTTTAAAAAAAATTTAAATTGAGACAAATAAAAATATAGAAAACTCATTTTTTTCTACAAAATTAAACAACAAATGAAACTTTAACATAACTAATATGAATGAGCAAACTATAAAGATTAACATTTCAAGAATAAATATTTTTGTGAGGTGATATACACAAAATAATCTCGTACTTCTTTATGAATTCATAAAAATCACTTAACATAAACCTCTAAAATCCTTTCGAGCAAATTGAAACAAAAAAATACAAAGACCAAATTAAGACAAAATAAATTTTTAAGAACGAAATTGAAACAAATACAATAACATGTGACCTGACAGTGTCACATGATACAATGTAAGTATCACCTTGACATGTGAGAAATTTTTTTATTTAAAAATAAATTAAAAAAAATATTTAAAAAATTAAAAAAAACCATAAACTAACACAAGACACTCTTTCAAAGTATTAGTACACAACTAACAATAATGACCTAATTACTCAAATTTTCCAAAAATAAGAACTCAATTAACAAAAAAAAAGACCTATTTGAAAAAATTACCAAATACATGGATTATGTGAATGATTAAACCATCATAAGAATTATATGATCCAAAGAAGCAGACCTGAATAATATTTTTAACATGTTTATTACTTTAGTCATCCTCTCAAGTCCAGACTTTTTGTTGAAATTTTTGGTGTTATTATAAGTGGATTAATTTTTTTTTAATATATTTTAAAACATTAAAATCAATATCTATCAATATATTTTGAAAATATAGCAGAAAAACAATAAAAAAAAAACTAGGAAAGAATCCAAATTTGATGGAGGGACTTTGGACAGGATTATTTTTAACCTGTTTTTTCTCCAAAAACTGTGTTCAAGGAATCCTACTCATGCATCTCAGAAGAAAGGCATCATCCAGGTAAAAAATTAATTACAATTTTGTCAAATATAACAGAAGAAGGACCACCAGTCAACCGTGGTAATAGGGAAGGAAAGAATGCCAAAGAAGAATAATCCAAACTACAAATCAGTGAAGAATAAGATGCGGGCAGTAAAAAACCAAACCCTGGTCCGCTACATAGACAGACGCTAAACAAAATTAACAAATAAAAAACTCAAGACTATGGAACTTCACAAAAATATCTTCAATCAAAACTACCTAAACAAATCAGTATTATAAATGTTTTGACAGGAAGCATCCTTCTAAGTTTTACTGACCCAACCCATTAAGTACGAGCTAACACAAAAATTCAATTATTTATTACCAGAAAATTAACTTGATCTCTTAACTTTTGTTTAAATTTCGCTCAATAATCACCAATTATAAATCCTAGGTAAATGCAAGTAAACAAATTAGTGAAGGACTTGAGCTCAACCAACCTTGGATTATGGAGTCCTTGTAAATAGCAGCGTGAAGTTTTTGTAATCTTAGCAGTTCATTCTAATAAAAATACATCAATTGCTTATGTACACCAAGTTTCAAAAAGATGTCGGAACAACTACAATAGCTAAGTATATGCTATGGTTTGACAGAGCCACAACAGCTAAACATCCCAATAAAATAATTACAACATTTGATTAAGATCAATGACTAAAGACGGTAGTTAGGACATTAGTCAGACAATAAAATTACGGAAGCACAGTAATCAAGGCCAAATCAGAAAAATGTCCACTAAAAAAAATTATAAATACAATGAATACAACATAAATACTATTCATTAATAACTATTATTTTTCAAGTACTTGAACATGTTTTACGGGTATTCACCTCTTATCTCGATCCAGACACTATCTGAAGACCATCATGGACACTAGCTGAAAACTTTCTGCACTAACATTTGGAGACATTGGTAGCTTGTAAAAACAGTTTATGATGATTGGTCAAGTTTTCCAGACAAACAAAGTAACACCTCATTTCCCTAAGCACTCCTGATCCTATTGCCCTTATGATTTTAACAACTTGGAGGGTAACTAGAAGACTATATTGATAAGAACTTTCCTTTTCTGAAGAAACCACACTTTCCTTTTGTACCGTGACATTTCTTTCTTATTTCTGTACTTTGCAAAAAGAAGTGTTGTTTGGGGTGACCAAGACCCAAACTTTACCCTTGCACCAAGATGACTGAAAAGTAATTTACACATTATAAAATTCAACCAACCAAATCCATGTATGCATATCCATGTTTAGTTTCCTTTCAGATGTAAAAGGTGATGAACTTGAGTTGAAAATATTTTAAATAATTCCATTTTTTTATACATGAAATATGGATGTGTAACTTCAAAAGCAAAACCAAAACCAAACATACTAATAGTCTACAATGATACAGAGTGATTGGAAATAATGACATACTAATCAATGATGGTATAGGCAATCCACTATCATTCTTTAAGCCTGAACTTCGACTTGCTTTGGTCCACCCTGTTCCCCAAGCAACATTCCGAGCCCTGGTTCCTTTCCAACATCCACTGTGCACGAAAATAGAATCCCCAACGACCAAAACGGTGACGTTCTCAGACAGAAACCTATTTGCAATTGGGCCATTGGGCCGCAAAGCCGCGACCCGGGCCCGAAACCCATCATGGAACTCTTTCCTCACTCCGCGGAACGACGAGGGAACGCCTCTCATTGGGTCGTTCGGTTTTTCCAAACCGTGGCAAAGGCTCTTGATTTTGTTCCCAACTTGGAACCACTCCCACCAAACCCTAAATTCCTCGATGCCGGATTCTGTTGCGAAGCGGAAATCGCCCTCAACGTTCATGATTTCGTGATTGCCGTGCATGGTGATGATTCTGCCTCCGCTCCGCGCCGCTTCACGCTTTAGCTTCTCGAGGAAGTAGAATATCTTCAGCTCATCGCCACCGCGGTCCAAGACATCCCCGACCTGCACGACAGTAGCGGAGCCGCCGATGTAGACATCGTCCGTGTCGATGAGGCCCGCGAGGCGCAAGGCCTGCTTGGACTTCTCGAGGTCGCCGTGGAGGTCGCCAATGGCGACCAGGCGTGGCGGCGAGGGAAGGCGAGTTGGGAGAGGCGGAGGAGATGGCGGCGGCGGAGGAAGGAAGAGACCGCTGACTGAGAAATCCACGAAGGTGTCAACAAATGATGATAAGAGATTGGGAATGTCTTTGCAGGATGAGGTTGGGATTTCTTCTTCTCTTCCCATTGCTATTCAGTTCACTGCTATTCTCAGATCAAATTCTCTTTTCAGAAACTACGGTTTGGGGTTGAGATTGCGTGACGGTTTTGGATGCTACGAAAGGTTGCAGACTAGGAAAGAAATGAAAGTCCTTTACTTTTTGTACAAGATGTGGTCCTGTGCGTCATCTTTTCTGTTCTTCAGGTCTTTCCCTCTCCTCTTCTTTTCTGTTTTTTTCCTAAGGTGCAATCAATCAGTTTTGCTGCCCTTGCATGTAAAGAATTTATTATTTAAAACTTTTTAACAATAAATTATATATCAATATTTTATTGATACGTATATTTAAAACCACCAATCATAAGTTATTATTTAAATAGTTTAAAAAAATTGTTAAATTTTTTATTTATTTATTATGACTAAATGAATGTAAGTATAGTATGACTGGTCATGATTATGTTATATTAAAATAGTATAATTTTAAAAACTATAAAAAATAAATAATTTTGTAGAGATAAAAGGTAGGAGATTATTTTTTATTAAACAATATAATTATTTTAAATAAATAAAAAGGACATCAGTATAATTAAAAGTAGCAGTAACTTTCTTTATGATGTCTTATATAATATATTGTGTTATATAATATATTGTGTTGTGCTTATTATACGGCATTTTTGTACAATTAATTCAATTAATAGTATGTTTGTAAAATCAATCCGGTGGAAATCACAACATAAAATGAAAGGGTGAGTTCATACAAAATAACATAAGATAATACAAGATAATCACACCCATACAATCATTTCATATATCCATCATTAATCCATAGATTCAATCACATTCACATTACACAAAAATACATTACTACAAACTCCCCTAGTCTATCCCCATACCATCATAATAAATAATAATTCAACTCAATCAATTAATTAAGTATTCATACCATCAACAAGCAAGAAAAATAAAAACAAAAGTTAATAATTAATAATGTAACAAATCAATAATATAAATTTCTGTTACCTAATTTCTCACTAAATTCTTTTCTTAAAATAAATAATATCCTTCAAGAGCTCTCACACATCTTTACTATGGAAATTAATTTTTCTTTGTAATCATAGTATACCATATTTATAATAAAAAAAAATATAAACTAAGTAAAAGATAATATCAAGTAACCAACTAACTAAAGATAAATAGAAGGCAAACATAATCTAATTGAATTTATTTTTTAAATATTTATAAAAACTCATTATTTTCATAATAAAATAAATTTTTTTAACTTAATTAATTCTGATAAATTCTTAAATAATATATTCTATCTTAAAATATTTATTCTAATTGATTATAATATGTTTCTAAATAATTCATTCTATTTTATTATTGTTATTATATAACAATAATATCTAATTATATCTAATAATATTCCAAAATATTTTTTTATGTGTAACAATATAATATATCTTTTAATTTGTAAATATATCTAGTCTATAACAATATTTAAGAATATTTTTAAAAATATTTAACAATATATAACAATGATTTTTCTAATTGAATAATTTTTCATCAAATCTTATTTTTTAAAAATATTTTAAAATAAACCCTTTAAATAAAAATAATAAAATTTTTATCTTTTATTTAAAATAGTTAATCACATTCGTAAATTTTTCCTAATTATTAAAATTTATAGTCCAACAAAAAAATCATCCTGAAAATTTTAAAAAATAAAATAAAGGTACGTTCTTCTCATATTAACGTAGAACAATTATTATAAATATTAATATATGTCACAGTTTCATTTAAAACAAATAATAAAAAGAATTATTTTTAAAATAGTTAATCTCTTTCATAATTGTTAAAATTTATAGTCCAAAAAAAATCATCCTAAAAATGTAAAATAACGTCCCATATTATATATAACTATATAATCTAGTATTCTAACATAATAGAATAGTTAGAAGAAGACTTGTAGATAAAGTCTTAAGGATACAGTCATCCCAAAATGGTTATAATTTAAAACTTTTAACACATAAGAGTATTTCCAAATACACAAAATGCCTATGGATCCTAACTAGGCTAAGCAGTGGTGTCATCTCCCTCCAAGTCCATTCTTTTCTTTTCTCTCTCTTTTCCCTCTGTTTTTCCTCCTTCTCAACCTGATATTAACCTCCCGGCCTTAGTCTGTTCTGGAACGGGAGACCTCTCGGTCACACTCCAAGTGTTCGGTCTATTTAAAGGTGAAAGTTGAACGTTTGGTAATTGGTATCCTTACGGATCTTTGTGCGAAATGTTTAAGTGAGATGATTATTAATGAAAGATGAAGAAAATATGATATGGATGAAATGTTTTGGATTATGAACGAGCGTTCCGGGGAGGAATGACTCATGACTGAATATTGAAATTGGTAAAGTATGAATGTGGGCATTCTAAGCTGGTGGTTATCCTGATGTTCCGTGATTACCGTCCCCACGTATAGGAGGGAGGGTCATTTGTGGGCACGGGGAAAAAAAAAAACAGGAGGTCCTTTATTCCTTAAGGGTTAATTTGGATAGATAGGACTAACCCTCTGTGGCATTTGTTGAGTGGTTTCCCAGTTACTACTCACCCGTGTGCATGAACTCGTGCTACTACAAGATTGCATACAGGCCAGACAGTCATTCTAGTATTAGAGCTTGTATGAAACGTTATGATTAATTATCTTGTTTGTTTATTGTGGGAAATGTATGTTTATACATTGAATTAAAATTACAATAGCTACCCTTGTTTCCTGTCTTGTCTTGTTTTGTACGTTCGTCTTTGTCATTGCAATGATCATCCGTGTGGATGTGAGCAGAAGGAGACGAGCTGTTGGAAGAGGCGCTGGAGGAAGAAAACCTGGTTGAGGTTGAAGTTAAGACCGAACAATAGGACGTTCGGCAGTAGTTTAGTTTTATAGTGAGGTGTCTTTTC